AAAAACACGATGGCTTAATTACAAATAATAATAATTTATTTGGTCTAAATTTCAGAAAATTTGCATTATTACTTGTTGAGTAATTTAAATTTGATCTCACTTCTATTGATTGTTGTATACTTTTGGTAGGTTAGTGTACATTGTACTAATAATAACAATGGGCATAATCGTAGCTTCATTTAAGTTTTCTTTGTAACCCAATTATGGAATTCCAAGTTCCAGCATTCTAATTAAACGTAACGGTAATAGTAGTAGTACACATCATATTAAGCAATTAAGGAGTTTCCAATTCGGTTTAAATCGTCAAGTAGACACTTGCTGGCTTTGCCTGCTTTATCGTGTTGTTCATTAATATGCGGCTTATTTTAATTGTCAATCGTTACAAAGAAACCAATTAGAAAGAATGAAATGCAGCAAACGGCTATGCAATGACATCAATTGTGAGCAAAACTCGATCTTGTCTCTGTATATGTACCTAATTTTATTTTGTGCATTGTTTCATATTTCCCATTGTGTGTAAAAACACTACGCTACTATTGTGCAGTCATAGTCACACCTTCTTCTAGGGGCAGTTTAGCCAAATTACGAGAGGACATTCAAGCAACATTTGGAAAGTCGTATTATATATATTATGTTACTTGACATCGAAAAAATGTACAAGAAGCCCATCGCTGCTCAAAGTGAACCCTTCAAGAATGTCGACGAAATTAGAGGTCGAGGATGTTGAAATTTTTGAATGCCCGGCAATTGATCGGCTTGTTGAATCATCCAAAATTTTGGATAATGGAGAGCTAGTCGATGAAAATAGTCGTCTTAGATGGATTCCTTATTCCGAATTTACTGATATCGAAACAATCGAACATCCTTCCGAACAAATAATCTATAATGCCCAACATAAACTAGCAGGAAAGGATAGTATTGCGGTAATGTTATTACTACTTGGAACGCATGATGAATGCACAGAAGAGTTTATCCATGAATTCTCTAGGACACACTCGCTTCCGACACACAAATATAAAGACGCTTCTACCACCAATCGGTTCAGAAGATATCCAATATGGCTAGATAAGCGTAATAAAGTCATTAAGGGTTTTACTAAAAGTGGTGGCAACTATTATATGGTAGCTGAAAGACGCTTCCATTGTTGTTATACTTTGTACGGATTCTGCTCTGATTGCGGACTCCTCAGATGCAGTCCTGTGTGGTGTATCTGCGGTCATAAGGAGCTATCGGACAAGTGGACTAGTAACAATAAGAAACTTGACGAATTTATTATAAAGTCGCAAAAACAAACAAAATCAGCAAATGAAGCTTATCTAGAATGGATGCCATCTGATTATATTCGAATCGGCCAGTTCATACGTTCGAAGAGTCGATTATGGGAACTACCTGCTGCTAATGTGAATATCAAATGCTTACCTCTTGAAATAACTACCGAAACGGATGATTCATACTATCACAAGGTAACGACGAAATGTGTTTGTCCCAATAACTATGTTAATCGATTACTAACATATCATGCAAAAATAACTCCACCAGTTATGTGTCGACCATCCAGATATTCTTGACCCAAACCTTTGGATTACTGTTGGGTTTATGTATGATGCAAATGAGCGGAAATATTATCTAGTTAAAGCTTTTCACATATTTACACCATATCATGACTTATGTTTAGGATGTGCAGAGTTATACGACTATTACACCCCCATATTTTGCTTAAAATGTAAAGCGCCAAAACCCCCTGATTGGACTACTGGCAACAAGGCTCTTGACTCGTTTTTAATGAAATCATGGAGTAAGGCAATTCGATCTGTTGATTTCTATATACAATGGATAGAGTACGCTCGATTGAAAAACATAAAAAGGACCTCGTCACTAGATCAGCAATGCACGCATACGGCAGACTGGTTAGAACCCACAGAAACAGACAACCGTTTGATAAAAGTGAAATTCAAAAAGATAGTTGACGGATCGAATGCTGAATCGTTTGATTTCAATCAGGTAAACCGCACTCATTGTAACAGTTTCTGCTTGGTGTCAATAACCGTCGTAATAATTGCTTTGTCTTACCTAACCAGCTAGTTAAAGATTATCCAAAGATATTAACGCCTGATAATATTTGGGTTATCGGTATTACTCAAGAGCCATCTACTCGGGACTATTATCTGGTATTCTATTATGAAGTACGACCAATTTTGGATAGAATAATGCGAATGGGAGAACATCCGCTTATGCCTATGAGCTTAGCATTTATGCAGTATGAAGATTTTGATGAAATTGAAGAGTTGGGTTCTGGCGGTTACGGAACAGTCTATACTGCCAAATATAAGAAATATACAACGACTGATTTCATCACACATAATTCGTTTAAAGTTGTGCCAGATCGTGTTGTTTTGAAAGGATTCAAGAATCCTGGTCAGCTATCGGAACCACTTATTGATGAGGTAAACATGATGGAATTATATATTCTAATTATCATTATCAAAGCGATATTCATTCGGATTATTGCTCTTTATGCGAACAGTTCAGAAGTCTTGCCACATGCTGTCAATCACGTCAATTTCTCAAACTTTTTGGGGTAACACAAGTACTGAAGACGAATGAATACCTATTGGTCATGCAACATGCTGACAAGGGGAATCTTATGTCTTATTTGGGTAACAATATCAACAAAATGACATGGAAGATGAAATTACAGATGTTGGATGATATTATATTTACACTTTATTCTATCCATGCCGATGAGTTCGTTCATTGTGATCTTCACGCCGGAAATATTGTTTTTGGTAGTGATCCTGATCTTGAGAAGATGAAAAATGGTTTAAGTCGCCCATACATATGTGATCTTGGACTTTCTAGACTTGTGGAGTCAAATTCCACGACCGTTCACGGTGTTCTGCCTTACATTGCACCAGAAGTCTTTCACATTCGGAAATTTACCCCGAAAGCAGATGTTTATTCTTTTGGTATTCTTGTATATTTGATCGCTAGCGGTGAACCACCCTTTAGAGATAGACAATTCGATGTATTTTTAGCGAGAGACATCTGTAATGGATTACGACCGATGATGCCTGACTCGGCGCCGGAACCGTATAAGAAACTTGCTGATATGTGTTGTGACGCCGATCCTGACAAACGTCCAGATTCATTCAAGGCTTTTCGCTATATTCGTGAGACGCTTCACCAGATCGCACCCGATGACAATATGTGGAATAGCATCTATTCTGCCAAGAATGAGAAACCATTGTCACGTATCGAGAAGGAGAATAAATACTCGAGTTTATTGTTGCCTGCTGGAGATTTGCCTAAACCAAGAAATAGCTGCGATGTTTATTCACTTACAGGTACGAATAATGAACGGTATTTGTATAAGTAAATAGTGGGATATTGATCTTATCATCCGTAATTGCTAGACTCTCTACAAGTTGATCTATCGATCTCAGGCGAAATTTGCGACTTATGGTATGTATACTTATTCGCACGCAATTCGTATTATTTAAGACTGTTCAAGCAATTAACTATCCGTATTTACGCAGATTGGAAAAGACCACCATGTTCATTCGACGATAAGAAAAAGAATATTTCTGTGCTTATAGATGGCCCTTGTTCAATAGCGTTTCTTTTTTACTTTCTATGTACTCGATGAGCAAAAGTTATAAATCCAAAATTTTCAGCACATTTGTCACTGATAAAATATACCTTTACAAGCTCTGATGTTTTACCACGTGGAAAAATAACAATGAAAATGACAGCTCAGCGATAACAGGACGTTTCTTCATTGTCGCATTTGTCCTTCGTTACTTCCCGTGTGTTTGGACGATTGAAACGTTTTCGAAATACATTGTACCTACAATACAACAATGCATAGCTTCTATTTAAGTTTTCTTTGTAACCCAATTATGGCATCAGGAGTTTCCAATTCGGTTTAAATCGTCAAGTAGTAGCTTATCTATTATAATTCAATTAATCGTTAATATGCGACAAGACTTTGCGGAAGATTACAATGACATCAATTATGAACGAAACTCGATCTTTCACACCATTCTCGCTTTGTGGTCTAATTCTGTGACTTTTTCTATCTATGTAAACGACCGAGAGCTGAAACAATACCTAATTTTATTTTGTGCATTGTTTCATATTTCCATTGTATGTAAAACACTATGCTATATGCGCTGCAGTCATACCCTCTTTCTAGGGGGCAGTTTAGCCAAATTACGAGAGGACATTCAAGCAACATTTGGAAGGTTGTATTATATATATTATATGTTACTTGACATCGAAAAAAAAATGTACAAGAAACCCATCGCTTCTCAAAGTACCTTTGAAGAATGTCGACGAAATTAGAGGTCGAAATTTTTGAATGCCCGGCAATTGATCGGCTTATCGAATCATCCAAAATTCTGGATAATGGAGAGCTAGTCGATGAAAATAGTCGTCTTAGATGGATTCCTTATTCCGAATTTACTGATATCGAAACAATCGAACATCCTTCCGAACAAATAATCTATAATGCCCAACATAAATTACCAGGAAAAGATGGTATCGCGGTAATGTTATTACTACTTGGAACGCATGATGAATGCACAGAAGAGTTTATCTATGAATTCGCTAGGATACACTCACTTCCGACACACAAACATAAAGACGTTTATATTACCAATCGGTTCAGAAGATATCCAATATGGCTAGATAAGCGCAATAAACTCATTAAGGGTTTCACTAAAAGTGATGGCAAATATTATATGGTAGCTGAAAGACGCTTTCGTCACCGTTATTCTCTGTACGGCTTCTGCTCTGAATGTGGACTACTCAGATGCAGTCCTGTGTGGTGTATCTGCGGTCATAAAGAGTTGTCAGACAAGTGGACTAGTAACAATAAGAAACTTGACAAATTTATTAGACAATCGCAAAGACAAACAAAATCAGCAAATGAAGCCTATCTAGAATGGATTTCATTTGATTGTATTGAACATGTCAGACAGAAAGGTACATGGATTAGTGATGTTCCTACTAATGTATATATTGAATTGATTCCTCTTGATATAACCGATGAAACAGCCGATTCATACTATGATAAGGTAAGCTATTTGATAATGCTCATGAATTTAATAATACGTCGCTTGACTTATATAATTATTAACCCAAGACAACAATATCCACTAGCTATGTGTTGACCATCCAGATATACTCGACCCAAACGTTTGGATTTCCATTGGGTTCACATATAGTATAAAGGAACAAAAGTACTGTCTGATTAAGTCTACGAACATTTGGGAACCATGTCATGAATTATGTCTGTCATGTGCAGAACATTTGTTCGTTTACATTAGGGTATGCTGTTTAAGATGTAACTCACCAAGACCTCCGGATTGGACTACCGGCAACAAGTCTCTTGACTTGTTCATAACACAGACGTGGAAGCTTGTGGTATTCACCCAAAGCTATATACAATGGGTAGAATATTCTAGACTGACGGACATACAAGAGACTCCGAAATTAAACCATGGATGTACACATACAGCATATTGGCTAGAACCAACATTTACGGGTGACCAGACAATAAAAGTGGCATTAAAGGAAATAGCTGGTGGACCAAATGCTAATTTCGATAAGGTAAACTCACTCTAATTGCCTTATGCTCTCTGTTAATGTTACGACTGCTTTAACAGTATTATCGTTTTACCTAAACAGCTAACTGATGAATACCCAAAGATATTAAGTCCTGAAAATATTTGGATTATTGGCATCGCACAAAACCCGTCTACTCAAGCCTACTATTTGGTATTCTACTATGATATACGTTCAGTTTTAGATAAGCTAATGCGAACGCTAGATCACCGGCTGTTGCCAACAAAGCCGGTTTTTATACCATACGAAGATTTTAGTGACATTCGAGAGCTTGGATCTGGCGGTTATGGAACAGTTTATGTCGCTAAATACAACGGACATTCAAAAGACATACCAGAACAAGTTGCCCTAAAAAAGTTCAATGGATCTAATCATACGCCCGATTTACTTATTTCCGAAGTAAGTAGTGCCCGTATTACAATGACTGTGATATTTAATCTAATCATTTTATCTGATTTTTAGTTTAATTGTCTTGCTTTATGCGCTACATCTCAATCTTTTCTGAAGAATTATGGAGTTACGCAAGATCCAAAGACAAATGAATACATTATGGCAGTGCAATACGCCAATAATGGCAATCTTTTGTCTTACTTGCATCACAACATCAACAAATTGACATGGAAGATGAAATTTAATATTCTTATAGATATTGCGCGACATATGCATAATGTCCATTGGAGCGAGTTAATGCATTGTGATCTTCATAGTGGAAACATAGTCTTTCACGATAATGGCGAGACTGTTAAGCCATTCATTTGTGATCTTGGATTATCGAAATTGGAGCATTCAAACTCCAAGACCGTCCACGGCGTTTTACCCTACGTTGCACCGGAAGTACTTCATGATCACAAATTCACTCAAAAGTCAGATGTATATTCATTTGGTATTCTTATGTTTTTGGTTGCCAGTGGTGAACCGCCGTTTAGAAATAGAGTGTTCGAACTGCCTTTAGCTTTAGAAATCTGTCAAGGACTGCGTCCAGAAATGCCAGAGTCAGCGCCGGAAGAGTATAAGGAAATTGCCGAATGGTGTTGTAACGGCGATCCTGACAAGCGTCCAAGTGCTTTCGAACTTCGCAACCGTATAATTGCTATTAGTAAAACGATTGACAAGGATAACTCTGATATTAATGAGTGGAACACCATCTATAATGCTAAGGAAGTGAAACCGTTATCACGAATCGAGAAAGAGCACAAATATTCTAGTAAACCGTTACCAACTACTGCAAATCTTCCGAGTATGGAAATCACTTATGATATGAAATCAATGGAAGGTATGAAATAGCCATTGCTTGTTGACGATAATACAAATGGGAATAACAAAATACTGATGAATCTTGCGTTTACTAAACTCTATACCAGTTGATCTTTCGATTTCAGATGAAATTTATGACCTAAGTTCGGAAATGCTTTAATGCGCTAATGAAATCGATGGTCTATATTCTTCTAAATTAGAAAACTAAACCTATTTATTATGATGAATTTATTGATCAGAAATCTTTTAATTGCATTGTAGGAGCTATTGCCACGACTTTATTCTGTGAATATCGTTTTCATTATAAAAAGAGGAAAGGCTCTACTCATGTTGCACTTCCTGCCTTCAGAATCTTCTCAAGACCAGCAACACAATATACAAAGGCATAAGTTCAGTCATAAATCTCTAATAAATTCTATGAAGATTTTTGTTGAAGGTCCGACTTCTATGTGTCGTTGTGCGCGTGGACCTGTTCTAATAAACGAACTAAATAAGAGGCTATTACATTGTAGCTATTCAAAGATAATAATAACTATATAATTAAATAATAATGTAATATATTTACGCCACTTGTACGGATAATTGCGTAATTGAAACAACGCCACAGTTGATTTATCCTTTGAAAATTTCGCGAAAACTCAAATAAGGACGACAGTTTTTGTCACACAATGAATCCTCAACCTGCTGCGGTGCTGGAATTTCTTCATATCTGTGAGAATTTGAAGGTAATATTTAAAATGGGGGAACTTCTCGAGCCGAGTTCAATATGAATATTCGATATATTGAATTGCTAATAGAGAACGAAAAGAACGGGATGGATAAACCGGAACGTCAATTTCCCAGAGAGCATCTCTGACCACATGCATAGAATGGCAATCATTGCTTTGCTTCTCAATGACCCAAGTATAGACAAGGATCGGTAAGTTGTTGAGCTAACTTATAACTACGGAAGACAACTGACCTCTTTAACAGATCCGTGTATTGTAATCCATCAATTCAGATGTGTAAAAATGGCAGTAGTTCATGACCTTGCCGAAAGTATTGTAGTGAGTATTCTTGACCGGGGCATCCGTATGATCAACTGAGAAATCAAACTTAATCCCCGGAATTGTTTTCTTAAGGGCGATATTACACCACAGGACGGCGTACCGAAAGAAGAAAAATCACGACGGGAACAGGTATTTGAATTATGCTTTCTCCGAGTCCACCTCTGCATTCTATCATCTCATCAAATTACATTTCAAAATTGCCTCCAGGAAGCTATGCACAAGTTGTGTAAGGAAATTCTCGGCGAAACACCTCAATCGCAAGAAATTTACGATCTCTGGATAGAATATGAAAAGGCAGAAACGAGAGAAGCCCTATTTGTAAAAGATATAGATAAGTTCGAGATGATCGTGCAAGCTTACGAGTACGAAAGATGTAAGCATTGTGAAAGAGATAGGAGGGTAATAGAAAATGGGCAGAAATTCGTCAACGTCACCGATTTGACGTACTTGTCATATACTTACACGGTTATCTTATTTATACTAGCGGAAAACCGCGATCTGGACGAATTCTTTAAATCGACAGAGGGGAAGTTTACACACCCTCTTGTGAAATCATGGGTTGATGAACTTTATCGCAAGCGTAACGAAGTACGTAGTCGACAAGAAATACGCGATGGTCGCTAAGGCCCATTTGCTCATAGCCAGCCTTGATTTTCTGAGCGGCTTGGGCTTTTTACAAAAAGGAAGATTACGTTGTGCAATTAATTTTACCGTGTAATGATATTTTTATTGCAAATTAAAGTTCACCGATACGCTTTAAAATTCAAAGGTAAAATTTTTATATAGCATCAACTGTTTTAATATCATTATAGCCCTTTGATGATTGTACACGGATCAATTATTGCAAACATACGCCTCCTACAAATTATTCTTGAACAGTTAGATCATACGAAGTTTATTTATCAAGGATTGAACATGCATATTGTTTGTGCGAATATCTTATGACATCGCTCATACAGGTAATATGGCTTAGCTTATACTACAATGTGAATAAGAAGCGAAATTCGCTTCGATTGTACCAAACGAATAATGGGAGAGGAATATCTGGTAAAAATATCTTACAATCATACCGTTACCCTTGCAAATGGAGATCTTAGTCTCGTCCTTCGTATAAACATAAGTAAATATACCTATTATTACAAATATAATTCGCTTGACATCATCAAAATTGTGTATAGCTTACAGCTTTTCATCCCACCAATTTCCCCGTTCGTTTGTCCAATGTTAAAACTCACCTAAAGTCTTTTCAAACTCCTCTTCTTATCCTGCTTCTTTTCCAACTTCTTCCCTTCGGCTGCTCTCTTCCTTGGCGTCACAGTAATCGTACTCTCACCGGTATTCTTTTTCAAGCTAATTCCCTCATTGATACTATTTGACACTCCTAGCGGTGATGTAGCAGCCGAATGTACATTTGTCATTGGTTCGTGTTCACTCTGATCCGACTTTCCGTCTTTTACATCAGTTTTCCTTTCTCCCTTTGTATCAATGGCTTCGTCCTTCTTATCCTCACTCTTGATCAGTCCATCTTTTGAGGGAGACTTTTTTGATTGTGATGATGATGTTGATTGGGGAGCTGTAGAACAAGAAGAAGAAGGAGACGATCCGTTTTGAGACGACGGTTCTGTAAATGATACATCGAATGGTTTGGCGGAAGCGTGGATTTTGGTCATTAAACGAGCGTGTTTGGCATAGTCATCGTAATTTTCGAGAAGGAGACGACCAGCTTCTTCATTTAATGCTGATTCTGCGTTTGGGATAATCAGAAGGCATTTCACCGTCTCGTTGCAGAAACACATAGATGTAATAAGTCAACGATTAGATCATAATCAATCATAATTAGAGGGAAATGGTAAGCTTAATTGTGGACGTGTTTATAAATCTAAAAGTCGCCAATTGCCTGCAATATTTTTTGTTTGCTTCACATACCAATAAAATATGATTTATACCCAAATCCTTATTCCAATCTTTCTTCAAAGTATTTACACAAACTTCTCCCGCCTTCGATACATTTGGATGAAATATTTTTGTAACAATATAACCTACAATACAAAATATTTACATTGCATCTCAACAGACCTACGCAAGACGTAAAAACCCACACACAATGCCACCACCATACAAATTCCGCAAATAACCACCACACTATCGTTTATATCACAGTACATTTGGGGGGTACTGAGGGAAAGTCTGTTCCCAATATTAGTTTCACTTTAAAGTAGCCATTCTGATATGGTGTTCCTTCTATTAAATAAAACCATCATCAACAAAGTTGATTTTCGGACTGCTTATTGATATATCAAGTCTGAACAATTACCGGGTCCCATGATCCAAGCTTGTATGTCACATATATCGTCGTCCTTTACAATGACTCGAATTCCCTCCGGCGGGTTTGACTGTAGCGCGTATAACTCGTGTGAGATGCGCCTAATTACTGCTGGCGAAATATTTTCGATAGACGACTACTTAGGTCATTACGAAACGACGTGTATGCGGTTAGATATGGTATTAATCTTAGTAATTTACGACAATTCAACCTATGATTACCATGTTTAATGCGCTAAAGAGAATGAAGACACAGAATCGTTATTGTCACTGCTAGTCTTGTGCTTGAAAGAGTCTAAAGAGCGTTGTCTCCACGACACTAAGAAAATATTGTTTATTTTTTTGTTTATCGCTGGCCTGATTATGATATCGATATCAATTAATATATTAGGTAGTTATTGTGAAGATCAGGTGATTGTAACAACGATATTGGAGACCACTATCTGTGCTACCATTTCATATTATGCAGGATATTAAAAAAGATAGATATATGTATGGAGTGATTGTCTATGTCGGGATGAACTGATGGTTCTCTTTGAACACAGTTACTACTAATAAGATTTGAGCATGGAAGCTAGCAAGATAGAATGATTGTGGCTCCTCCTGGTATACTCGGCATAGATTTACCAATTTGGTCTCGAGGGAAATCACCGAGTCAGATCTTTGAAACTTCAAATGTCTTGTTTTTACATTCGAATACCATACCCTCATACCCTCACACATTCCTCCTTTGAGGATTAAATAAATTGCGTGTTACGCAGATACGATGGTCATATGTAAAAGTATTAGTGCGTGGCTAGAACACAAGAAAAACCCCTTAGATTTCGAAACAACATGTGAAGATTCTTATCAATAGTTTAACAGAGCCGCGACCATTATTTGATACACCCCAAGCAAGCTTGTTATCAATTTAATAAAAAAGGTTCGTCATAGAGTTCAACGTATCTATTGACCAGCCCTAGCCTTGATCTCTTCAACAAAGGCAACGTAAGCGGCTTGAGCTTCTTCTTTGGACTTGTCTGAAGTCGAATAGATAGAGTTATGAAAGATAAACACTTATTTTACGTCTTAAAGTTCGGTTTTTAGTTACCTCCAACATCAGACCATGCTCTATGTTTTGCTGCTCCTTTAGGATCAAAAATGGAGCTTGGCGCGGCTACAAAGACGAAAAAATGTAAACAACTAGAATACAATACATAAGGACGATAATTGAAATACATACTAGTATTGACCTTGCCAATGGTGGCTTGTTTGAATAGACCGTAGAGTTTAAGAAGATCTTCTTGAGTTAGCGAATCTCCCAACGATCTAACTTCGTTGGCTGCTTCGATAAAAGCTGGCTAATAGGGAATACATGACAGTAAGAGTAATAAGCATATTATGTACACATAACCGACTGTTCGTCTATTCAGTGTTATTATTAGTTACATTATTAGTGGACTCGGCGTCAGTCATTTTTATAGATATCAAAGTTTGGTATCAGCAGTCGGTCTGTAACCGCTAGACTTGCAATCTCACAAGCTCTTTATATATTGTTCCTTGTGATTATCTTTTATTTTTGTGTATGACCGTCAGTCATGTGAGTCGTCTGTGTGTGTCAACGCATATTATTAATATACTAATAACGCTAATACCGAATTAAGAGACAACCCCCCCTCTTCTCACGCTCACACCCACAGTTGATTTGTTGCAAGCTTCTCTTCCAATAAATCCACACGAAATTATTGACTTTTATCTTGCGTTTCTTTTCCACTGCTCCGTTATCCATAACACAATAAATATTATGGATGCAGACTCACAAGCAACCTGCATCAGTGGTAGTCGATTGGACGGGATCTAACGAGATTACCGTCATCTAAAAGCATTTTGATGGAAATATGGGACTGCGTAACGGTAACAGTCGGGATATAGTATCCCCCTGAAATTAACACAAGAATTTCGGGGATGGCTACATATAAAAATCATACGCGAGAAATGCTTCTCTACCCTTTGTTGTATATCTAGAAGGATCTCCATAAGCGTTAAACTCCTCTAAATAGCTCAGTTTCGGGAATGCGAGTTAGTAAATAAACAAGGCTCAGCAATTTATTGTAACAGATTATTCTCTATTATTTTTACTCGTTTCTCGTTAAACCTTTCAACTATATTAGTGCGCAATTATGCTTATGCATTACGTCGGTCAAAAACATATTCGCCAAGTCTGAGTTTATCGTTTGTCTTAGAATAATTCAAATGTTTAAACCCCCACAATTATTCGCGTTAGTGTAAGATTGATTTATCCGCTTATGAAACTCTGAATAAATAAATCAAAAATGGTTACGAGAATTTGTGTTATTACATAGCGATAGTAAAGGGTTAAGAAAGTTACAGCTGACGAAAATACTTTTTTTGGAATCAGGGAACGACATGTAGCTGGCCGATGCGCAAAATCAAACGCTTTTATCTCGACGATTTACAAATTATTTGCCGTAATACATAGTCAACTCTGAAGCCAATAGCCAAAGCTTAACTTCGGATTAACGAGTTTTTCTTCATAATAATAATCCGAATTTGCTATTGTACACAATAATCCTTCGGTTTACACTCTTTATTTAGCTTAGCTTCATCCCTTGTTTACCAGTGTGATCAATAAAGGACTCGAAACCTCCGGATTATTCAATACACTACATGTCACGTGCGGCGAGAAACGCATCCAATAAAAAAATGTACCGCACTTCCTGCGCGATTGACTTACAGTATCTCAAGAAGCCGCAGCGAGGTATAACTGTGTGAATGTTTCATAGCATTATTCAGTTAATACCTTTTAGCCTATTAACTGAAATTACGAGTGTCTATATTACTCTTAACTATACCAGTCTGAAATGCAATATATCTCTAGTAAAGGATTCGCCTGATACATGACAAAGTATATATCGCGACGCAGAAACAATATCCTGCCTGGCATAAACAAGCACATCCGATAGGGAAACCAGAAGATGAGATCGACTGGTGACTATGGGTTTGATTATGAACTCGACCCGATTGCTGTCAGAACTTTTTGCCCATCAATAGATTTAAAAAAAGTGTGACTCTGGAATGACGTCAATGAATGAAGCGAAGTGCTTGGTATAGTGACAGCGGGAAATGCTTTAAAACTATCCAGGTGGAATCCGATCTATCCAGTTACGTCCACTGACGTATATCATAGCTGCTGGTCTAAGACATACAGTTAGCAAAGAATCGGATTATGTGAATGCTCATTCTTTTGCCACTTAGCACTACCCCTCATTTACAACCATGTGATGCTGGAATAATAAGCTCACTACTGAAAGTTGTATCTTCAAACAGTATTGACTTTGGAAAAGAATACCCCATCTCAACATAAAAAAAACAACTAGTTTTTGTTTGGAAGCCTGGAAAAATGGAGCCCCTCAGATGCTTGTCAATGGCAAAAAACTGAATAGTACCATTAACTGAGTGGAATTGGCAAAATCCAGATGTACAAGAATACAACAAGAATCCAGGATTAGAAACTGATGTATTGGAGAAAACATTATGCAGGAGAAAAGATGAAATGTTATAACCAAGAAATTCATTTCGACGTCGAATGAATTGATCTTGTGATGAAACGCTTATGAGCTTCTTTATGCTTAATATTCTCAATATAAATTTTCACTAACGTCTACTTTATTCACTATAGAATACTGTCCCGAAGCGTAAAAAACTGTTAATATCCAACTGTCTTTGGTTTTAAAATTAAATATTTTACCATATATAGTCGATTCATCAATTTCAAATTGAGCTACTAAAATTTTGTTCTTCATGTTCGGATTTTCTTCTTGATATTGCACAGTCCAATCTTTTTAGGGATGCTTAATTCTTTCTTCTATCTTTGCTATTTTCTGTATGCACAATATAAATGGGAGTTTTCGCTTTTGTATTTGTTGGTTTATGATTGAAGAATAAAATCTAATCGCAAACGCTACAGAAAGTTGTCTACTTATTAACTAATAAGATTTAATCTTTGGTAATTTAATATCTCATGACTACAGATTGCAGTAATTTATTATAAAATTTTGGATATCGAGGTAATTTTATTGATTCTTCGGATCTAGATCAACAAGGTTGAAATTAAGTACTGTTTAAAAGCCTGAAAGCTAAGAATTTAGTTAAGGCATACAGTATATTGTTCACCATTGTTATTAATTATCATCTGATAACGACAAATTCAACAAGACAAGATTGGACAAGGTCCGTATTATTTCATTTCACCGACGTCAACTACCAAAAAAGGAAATAATGTTGTATAGAGACTGCTTGGAAGATGACCCTTGATCCATAAGGTTGTTGACAGTATCTCACAAAAAGAATGTCATAAGTCTTTTGAAAGTTGGTGGAAAGATTACAAAATCTATAAATATAGAAGAAGACTATTTTGAAATAAAGCCAGGCGGTAAGAACTTTTTGAACCACTCATGTACCTACATTTGCAAAGCTATGCCCTTTTAAATTCCATATGTAATTTTGAGGACAACTTTTTTTATTACACATTGTAAGTTTCTAGAATGCATCAAGACCATTTCCGTTCCCACAAAGAGCACTCTGTCTCTATAAGGCACTCAACTCAGTAACTCATCCCAAGAATTCATAAAAAAGAAACTTCGATACAAGACCTTAGTTCAAACCTCTAGTCTTGCTGGATAGCTACGAATTAAATTTCCCGTAGAAATCATATGATGCACAATCAGAAGCGATTAAAAGACGCGAAATAAAACTTGGTTGCAGTATTGACACATTGACACTTTCCGCGAACATAATAGGCGAAATAAAAGGGTTGTCTTACCATTCATGATGCGCTTCCTTGATTAATACTAATGTATGTAGTGAGCATGGTCTCGGACTTTTATCAATTAGTTTCTAGTCAAATATGATCGTTATTCTTCAGAGAAGTGACAAAGATGTAATCTGTTCGAGTAGTGAATAGTTTAGCATTGTACATTATTGTATCACTCTGTCTTCGATTAGTTTTGTAATAGTGATTCTCTACATAGTATCAAATACAAAACCACGAATTTATAGAGAACAGTACTTCAACGAAGACTAGAACACTCATACAAGCATCCTGATTAGTAACTTGCCTAGCAATTATCATCTCTCAATTGGTAGAATGAGCAGGATATATCAATTCCGCTGTGATATTACATCTCAGCTTCATACCAATACTCTGCCATTGACATTGTCATCGCCCTAGGTACAATGATCATTCACCCACTCTTTCAGTAGTAATAAGCAGACGTGTTCGCTATGAGTAAGCATGAACCGTATGCATTTTATAGACTTAGTTTTCAAGTTCGAGAAGAATCTAACAGAAAGACTGTTAGACACAAATTATTTTTAATAGTATCGTCGCCATAAATACTTAAGTTAGGTTGATTCTCATTTTGTGAGCCAACAAATATGATTTATTTAAATAATAAATTTAATTATTGTAGCGACGGGTTCATTACGCAAAATTAATATCCTACAAATCCAGTTTGTTTTACTTGTTTAAACAATTATATTGATAACGGACATGCTTTTACCAATATGCAACTATAGCAAAATTCGGTCAGTGACAACAAAAAAATTTTTAAGAGACAATGCTGGTAAAAAAATTTTGGAAGTCGAAAACGCTACCAATTATATTTGGCAGTATATCATCCCTGCGTTGTATAGTGTTTCAAACTTTCTTCAACAGCAACATAAACAAAAATATTGTATTGAGACTAAAATTAGTCAAGTAAATCAATAATCTGTTTACCAATTCTGTCAACAAATAGTTGTTTTCCACCTGGAACAGTATTCCGGATGTACCACCATTGTTAATTAATTTAATAAAAGAGATTAGTTATAGCAATAGGAACCAAAGTTTACTAGTAATATATAACACTGCAAAGACTGGCTGCCATAGAACCAAATAAATTATCAAGGAAAACACATTTTTATATGTAAATGTTTTTCTACATTTCTCTTGGAAAAGTAATGGTAATATGTAGTAAAACATATAAAAAAGTCGTGTTGTTTGTATACACGCGATTATCAACAAGTTTTGTAGCTAGTTAATTATCTTGTCGACAAGAAAAAATTGATAAGTCGAATATATATATTACGCGTTATGATTACGGAACTGCAGTTCAGTAAAGTGACGGTATACAGATCTAGCGCGACAGTATGGATTCTACTGTAAATATTTCCTGCCCATTCAACAGTTCTATAATGAGGTTTTGATTTCAAGCGATCATTATTTTTTTCGAAAGTATAACCATTTGGATCCAAAATTTATTGACGCGTACATACAGTGGTGTACAAAAAAAAGATCATTGTTTAAATTGCTCTAATTTTACAGTGAGCAAACCAATTAAAACATATAATAAACCGGTTTAAAGTCTGTAAAGTTAACATAAAATTTTTTTACTACTTTTTGCAATAATTCCCCTACAGTGTTGTTTCGTTGAACATTTTAAACTAATTAGAAGGCTATCGGGAATATTATTCCACTCTTCAACCATAAACCTTTCCAATTCACTAAAAGTTTTGGAATTTCCAGTTTTATTGGATTGCATGTTTTCTGCTTTAATAATGCTCTTGCTTAGATGGAGCCATTTTGTAGTAGAATAAACTCTCAGAGTTGGCAAGTGATCAAACTTATAATTACATAAAATAAATAACATTAAAAAAGCTTTTGTTTTTATTTTACATGACATGAATAAGTCCAAAATTGGGAAGTTACTATACACAAACTATAGAGAATGCTGGAAATTGCTTTTTTTTTTTTTTTTGCACACCACTGTATACGGACAATACAAAATTTTAAATATAATGATTTTCATATCTTAGTAGCAAATTACCAATAATTTTGCCAGGTAGGTGTATAAGACGAGTTTTGATATACGAAGATTGTGATGGGTTTATTGATATATCTATGACGGGAAAGTCACGTTATGCTGATATCGTTGTATGCTCCGTGCCTAATAAACAAACACAATAGTTTTGATTGGTCGCCGGATAAATTAGCGCAGTTTTCACTTGTTAATAAACCAAACTACATCCGATGGCTACAAGGATTCAATTATTAAACTTCAAAGCACTTGCTCTGTTAAAAAATCCACAACAATGTGTTTTAGCCGTTGAATTGTATTAATGAGCTTGCATTTGGTCTTTCACTCCGTTACAAGATCTACGATCGGCCCAACAATGTTGATCTACAGTTTGAAAAATTATTCAAGCAATTCGACAAGAAGATTAACGGTAAAAATTAAAATTTAATATGAGTGCTGAAAAATGTTGAAATCTACATAAGTTTAACATCTTATTTGACCAGCTAAATCAAGTGATTATCAGTTATACGTAGACAGTCGCTCTATTGAAATGCGTATCGAAATATAAATTACATTCTATCAAACTATTTGTATTTACAAATTACCCAAATCTTAAACTTAAATCTCCGGTATGATTGTGAAACTGTGTCATCATTAAGGAATATCAGGCAACCCGAGTCAATTGAACCAGGACGCGATTCCTTATTGTCATAATATTGAACAGTGTCTTTGTCTCGATAAATTGCAGCCATTGATGTAGTAATACTAAGGGGTTTATTGCGTCAAAACATATGAAAATGAATCCGCTTGTATGGGGGTCGACAAAGCAATCGCGATTGATCAGCTTGGAAATTGTAACTAGTATAAAATTGACGAAATTTCTCAGATCGGCAAATGCACATAATCGAAACAAAGAACCAGAAATAGTTAATCGTCAAAATCATTAATTTCTTTCTTTAACCCCTTGTCGTACGCTACGTTGATCAAGTCCAAAGCAACTCTTTGACTATTTGTATTGCTAATCGGTGCTTATTTCATCTACCGTACCCTGATAAAGCCGTCATGTAATCCTCGTTTTGGTAACAAAATGCGCAAACTGCATTTATTGATAATATCATTATTTTATCACAAAAATGAGCGAGAGGAATTCGGACAGATACATTAAAAGGTTTTAACCGACCCCAATATGACGTCTCTTTCTCATGCTTCCAGAATATGAAAGATTACATTCGGCCGTAGCCAAAATGTAGTGGTCCCGATAATCACACATGGATGTACATTTAAGAATGTGACCGAATCTATTAATCAGTTAATAAAATCTCCGTTCCACCATTTCTATGGCTAATCGATTTTGCGACAAGTAAATTCATTATATTTACACACGTGATACGGCTGCTAATTGATGTGATAAGCATTTGCCAGAAATGTGTTATCTTCTTAATTCGCCAAAATGATATTCATTTTACGTCAACAATTTCCAAACATAATTTAACGTGTTTACAACATAACTACTAAAAGTAGTAGTAGTTTTCATAAATGTCTGTTTGTTGATGTCATTGTCTTACTTTATTACCAGATTGTGTGACCATATCTTTCCTAACAGCCTTTGTCTCTGACTAACCAAACGGTTTGGTTTAACAGCATGCTAATCGCCATAGTGAATTATGTGCGGATCACATACAGTACATGCATAAACTCGATGAGGAAATTAGGCCCGTTTCTGGTAAAAACTCGTTTAATATATCTTCTGCAATCAGCAGCAGCCATAATTAACGTGATTTAGATACTTGCAAGCATCTCATGTATTCATTCTGGATATTCGTCATACTTCTGTATTGGGATTAGTCGATAAAGATTGGCAAAAGTATCGGATATAGCATGTGCACGCTCCCCCTTGACAAGGTCAGGTAAATGACTTGTTCATTGAACTAAATGCTAACCATTTTTATATTTTCTGAAATGTAAATCCTGGGGATGGCTGTCCGACTTATCGTAAAGAAAAGGGCCAGAGCGATTTTGAGCTTACCCATGTATGACCACGAGGTTAAGTAGGACTTTTTATGGTCTGCATTTACGTACAATTAATACGGATTAGTTTGTCCCACTGCATAGGCACAATACGATCAAAAGATACTGTCAACAAATGAACCTTGGTTTCTATTGTTGAGAACAATTAATTGTTAACTAGTAAAATCTGCTAATATTATGTTCCTCTTTATCTCCAATTACTTCTATATAATAATAACAACCAACAATTCTTTGTTTTTAATCCATTGGTATTTTTTAATTTGGGTATATCTAACTGACATCTCAGTCACATAGTCTCTTCTCTCTTTTGTTGCTCTACTTATTAGTCAGCATAAGCAAATTAATATTCTGTTGATTCATGTGATTATCACTAACTAAATTGCAATTGTTGGTTAAAAAGGAAAAAAGCCAAGCGAAGGAATTACATTTACGTTATTTACTTACGCACGAATTTACCAACAAAGTATATTTTGTTTACGCTCGTACAACTGCAATGATTATGCAAATTTTATTTCACTAAGTTATTATTTTACTTTTGCTCAAACTTGCCCTTTTAGGACAACTGTCGAAATTCTGTACAAATGCATAAAAATCGAAAAGAAATGAAACACAAATCACGTATTAAAGTTCATTATACTGCCGTTACCGATGCTGTCTTCTGCATCAGACAATACTTCTTGCCTCGCCAGCAACATCCCCTTCTTCTCAAATTAAGAATAATAAAAAAAGACTATGTACAAGAACCACTTTTTAATTTTTCATACACAGAAAAATAATGAAACCATTCATTCCCCCCTCCCCTTGACATCCATTCATAATTTGCTTTTGCTAAAAAAAGTATCCGTAAAAGGCTCTAATCTAAATTTCACGTCCTTCATTAATTTACTTGTCGGGTCCCACTCTTCATATTGCTTTCTCAGTTTCTCAACCTCTCTCGACAGTGTTTCCGAGGAAAGTATGCTCTTATCTTCCAATATTCCGCGCATAGCCCATGGAAGAGAATGAGGATTGATGCGGTGCTGTGCGTGAAACTGTTGTAATTTCAATTTACTTGAACTTGCCGTAGTAGGGGGGGTTTCAAAGAGATAGCGGACGCATAAACTGTTTCGAAATAAAATAAAATGAGTAAATAGTTAGAACTCTTATTCGAAAGAATCTGGCTCAACATGGAAACAAAAAATACTGTCTTCTTGTACTTACTTATAGACGTTTAAATCTTCGTATAACGTCGAATGACCTTCACAATACAAAGACCCAGCTACGACTTCACTTAATGGAACCAATAGACCATGATCGGAAATGCCATGATTTCGAAGACGAATGGCAAAGACAATTAAATTCATGAGAAAGTCATCAGCCTGATATATCGGCCCATCGATATATATTGCACGCAGAATCGACGGATGATTAATTCCCGTAAACACGGCAGAATACAACGGCACAACTTGATCGTCCATCGACGCAACATACACCATCTTGACACCCGCGTTAACCACAATTTTCAATGCTGCTCGATACTTTTTCACAACGGTACTATCCGACTCCATAAACTCGAACAATTCCCTCGCCGCATCAGCTTCGACATACTTTACGAGCAAATTGCTTTTCAAAAAGGAAAATGGTCCGTGGCTTACTCCCGCCATCGCAAGCATGCCGATACGCTGTCTCTTTGGTTGAATGTATTTCGTACTTATCAACCTGGCCAATAGCATTGTGCTTACCGGCGTACCTTGAGAATGCGTGGTCACAAACACAACGTCAGCTGCACGAAGAGCTTCCCGCCACACTTTGTTGCGTAGAAAGTTTGTATAAAGAATGTCGACTCGGGCATCGATCTTTCCTTCGCCTTCGAGTGGGATCAATGTTATTGCATCCTCGGGAAGATACGTATTGTGCTGTGCTAGGTAATTGACTACTGCCGTTTGCATCAAATCGCAAAACTTGGGTGAGGTACCGGTCGGTTCGCCGATTACCGTCCTCACAAACCTTGTTTCTGGAAACCACCCGTGCACACCGATAATTGCTATCTTTTTGACATCCACCGACGAGCGTGTTATTTCGTCCAGCCACCTCGGGAACTTTCCGCTGGGTTGTCTGTCAGGTGGGAATAAGTAAGAGTTTATTGCGTGTAGTGTTTGTTGTATGAATGAATCAGGGCGCCTATGTGAATTGAACTGAGGCAATTCATCGAATGACGGTAGAACTTTGTTGGGTGGTTTTGCTTTTGGAGACGGTGGTCGGACGGGATCTAGTGATTTGCGTTCCTCTGTTTCTTTTGTGATAGTTTTTTGTCTATTACCTTGTTGATCTATTCTTGTTGGCGAGGCTATTGATTGTTCTTTTTTCTCTATCATCTCTGATGACTCTATTAACTTTCTATCGGGTCCATTATCTATCTTGACCGCCGACTTTGCAGCGTCTGACGAAAAGAAATGTAGCCATGAAGAACGCGTCTGGGGGAGGGTTTGTACAACTGGGTTTATTGCATGCCTTGGGTATGATGTCGAGCGTTGTGGGGATTTCTGTTTACGGCTTATCTCTGTCATTTGAGGTTGTGCTGTACTATTGGAATTTGTGGTTGATGACGACGATTGTGCTGGGTCTTTTTGCTTGGAGGACGAAGAAGTTGGTGATGACGAAGATAAACTTTCTGCAAAAGTTGGTTCAGTAAAGCTTTTTGAATAATGTTCGTTTGTAGTTTGTTCTGTTAAATCTGGTGTCGAGGCAGACCATGTTCCAAATAGAGACCAACGCTTTATTTCACCTGATCTCTTTTTTGCAACCGAATGTCCATTGGTAGATTCAGTCTTTACTGCATTCTCTTCAGATACGGCGGGCTGAGTATTTGTTGACTCGTTACTATTTATGGTAGCCGGCAATGCCTTTTCTGGTTTCTCAGTAATACTATTGCTATTATCCTTTTGTACTGCAATCGGTTGTGTATTATTATTATTAGTATTATGTATATTATTGTTGATCTCAACTACGCTTTGTTCTTTGCTAGAATCGTCCTTTGTTGTAACGCCTACAAACCTCCACCAGGAAGACCTAGATGAAGTGGAAGCATTAGAAGTCGATAACTTAGTCTCTTCTTTTATTATTAGTGCATGATCCCGTTTCGAATCGCTGGAAATATCGGGGGCACTCTGGGTTGATGTCTGTCGTACCATATCTTCACCGGTGAATTCAACGGGTATTGTGGGATGTGACTCTGTGCGTCGTTTTCGTTTCCCACGACTTGGTTCTAGTAAATTGCTTAACGACGAAGAGCTACCTGATTTCCGTACTCGCCTTTCTATCATCTCTGCTTTTACTGTTGTCATGTCAACAGCCGTTGTTGGATTTGTGGAAGAACTGTGTGAAGACATATTTAATAGTCGATCACTCGGGTTGGTGGTTATGTGCTTTACGCCTTCTTTTATTTCTTGAAGACCTCTTTTTTCTGGAAGGTTCGATGGTATCGGAGAAGAGCGGCTTGCTGACGAAGACCACCAACTTCTGAACGATGACGAGGATTTCGATTTTTGATCGTCGTATGTACGCCTGCTATTACTTGAGCGTTTCGGTATGGGAATAGCACTGGAGGTAAGAGAGTCGTCCTCTAATAATGTTGATGTGGTTGACAATGTCTCTGAGGTTACTGAAGATGTCTCTATATTGGTAGGAGATGCGTTGGTTAAAGCATTTGTTTTATCGGTAGGCGAATTTGACACGATACTGTTAGAAATAGTATCAATAGCACTGCTTGAATTCTGAGTGTTGTTGATATTGTTTGTAGCAGTACTCATAGTGGGGATAGAGTCGTTTGTCTCGGTGTTGTGATTGCTGCTACTAGTACTATTGTCTGTTGTATTTTGTGTAGAGTCAGCCTCACTGTGGCCCCAGAACCAAGAATAGCGGGACATTGTAATAAATAGCTAGATAGTATGTTCTGAAGAGGGGGGAAGGTATGGATTATTCGGGCTCAAAGGTTGGGCGAACGTAGCGTATTTATTATTCGAATATTGTATGTATGAGAGATCGTGATGTCATGTAACAGTCATTATATATACAAAGAAGTGTATTGATCACTGTATATATTAATTAAATATACAGTGTACAGTCGTGTTTCGGAAAATAATAAACAATAAGCAACTTCATTATAAATTTGCAAATACCCCAATTTTTGTTATTATAAAATGTTTGGGGCGATCTTCTGGTTATTACTGTTAATATCGTGCATTCATTGGTAAGCAACACAATCCTAATAGGATTTCACCGCAGTGGATTGCCCCAAAGCTAGCAAAGTCTACTGCGTTGTTTCTGCGGCATGCTGCGATGATTGTTTGACCTTTGAACAGAAAATTTCCCTTATTTAATATCAATGGGCAATGAGTAATCCGTACTAATCACATGAACGTAGCAAAAGTCGCCTATTGGAGGCATATATTGGAGATATATTAGTATATAACCTAGTTCAAGTATATTTGTTTATTTGTCCATTTTCATATGTTATTTCTGCAGCCACTCAAATTACAGGCTTTTTCCATAATGCCACAGAGAAGTGGCAAGTGGAGAAACGTAATATACCAGACCGAATATAAACAACAAGGTGGGTTTTGAGATAATGTAGGAAAAACTATCGCTTGTTCCGTGCGTAAAAAAAAAAGTCTTTGCCAACCTTACCTGACCAAATATTGTTTGCTAATTCGTGAATTGAAAAACGTTGTGGCAGTAATAGTAAGCGCTAACCGTTACTTTAATAAAGAATGTTTTAGAATAAACATTTCGTCATTATCATGCAATCAAGGCATCATTTAAAGACTGAATTCACTTGTACCCGTTTTCCCAACTCTAGGCTCCCGTTTTCTTTTTTTTTTATTATTAAGCTCTCGCCATTCAATGGTGTAAGACTTTATTAGGCTCTCTTCCGGGGGGGTTATTTTGTGATACGACCGTGACTCACATTGACCAACCTAACGCTAGTCATTCATTGCCTGCGTGTGTTTTCTCCTTCACCCCCTCCTGATTCAGCACTTTGGGGGAGGGGGGATGAGACTTCGAAAAGATATGTAGAATACATGCAACATCATATGAGTGCAGTAGGTTCTGATGTGGGATAGTAAGGTATATACATGTGAGTCCAATCAGGATTGGAAAGGACATGTATATTAAGAACAATGACTGGTAAACGTAAAAATAGGTACAGAAAATTTTTTCTTTTTCCTTGAACCTTGATCTGAAAAAAAACCCAATCCAAACTCAAATCTTCTCAAAACAACGCCTAAACCAAAAGAATCAAATTTTTGTACATACCACAATAGAAGGTTATAAATAATTATCCTTCCCCCTAATCACGTTACGTACTCCTGCTTATCCTTTTCGCTCCTCCTTTGTTTAATAACAATAATAACGTTAAATGTTCTCATAAGCGAGGGGTCGTGTTGCTGATGACGGTGGGTGATGGATATTAATGTTTGTAGATATCTGATATTGGTATCGAAGCTAGTGTAAATAGTAATAGTGCAAGTCACCTACGTTACCTTACAGTAAATATTTTACTAATTCAGGTGATACCATTCACAACGTCTCCCATAAACACATCTTTGTTTATTATTATGTATGATATATTTATGTCCTAACCAGGTGAGAATATTAAGTGTGTACCGCCTGACCTTTTCAACTCCTTGTCTCTCGAACAAAAAAGCGATAATTTCAATAATAACGAAAATAACAAAATAGTCAAATTCATTGTCTTACGACATTGGATCAAGTGACTGCCTGAGAAAAATACAGCGAAAGAGTTGCTATTGTCATAAATTAGATACATAAAATGTTTACTTGTGGTATTTAGCAAGCCCCCAAAAAAGGGGGCTTCCAAACTGGTTAGGATTTCGTCGATCACGGTGAAACTGCACATGACATTCAGATCAACGTTTGTGGTCATTCTAACGAAAATAAACGATACACGCACAACTCTTGTAGGACATCGATCATTGGACGTTTGGCAAGATACAAGCGCAAATTCCATCTTGTTTACTATTATCGTTACGAATCCACATGTTTTTGTAAACTCGTTGATTGCATGAAGCTTCTTCTTTTTTTAATCAACAGTGAACTTGATACACATACTTTTTGGGAAACCCTTTTTTACACAAAGCGTACATAAATTTACTTTAAGATCAAACATCACATGAATTTAACTTTGTCATGAGAAATGATGGTAAACAGTGATGGTAAACAGTGCATACTTTTTTTCAAGATTAGATCTTAGCCACTTATTTTACAGCGGAATAATAATATTCAGCAATTTTCCCACCAATAACAGTGAACTCAGGTAACTCGCATTTGCGTGTCCTGTTCAGCGGGGCCCCACGTTTTTGCGCGCCTTGGTACCATTTGAAACTGTGAAAATAAACAGTTTTTAAATGGCCCACGAAGCTCAGGGTTCCTGACTGCGGAACAACATACCGCCGTTGAGAGTTTGCAGTTACAGTTATTGCATGTGTCGTCAAGAATTTATCCGCATCATAACCCATCCAGAGCATAATATTTTTATATTCTGAGAATAACCAAAGAACACTCTAAACGGATAGTTGGTACATGCTTAATTTCTTGTTTATATGGCAGAACATTTTTTCTTGATTAAAGTTTCGTGACTTCCCTTTTACTAGTGACTATTCCATGCATACAGAAAAGTTTATTAATAACAGGTGCAGGTAATTTGTAAGGCTTTTATGCATTACGTATAAGCTTTCTTGGGTCCCAAATTTATATTCCGTGATTTCCAACAAGATTTCTATTTGGCTTATGAATTAACGTATTTACTAAATCTGGATGCAGAGTTACTCTGCCCAATCGAGAAAGACAGGGGTTTTGTTATTGTTAATATGACATTCACAATATATTTAGTAAGATTGTTATTGTCAAGATTTTAAGATTGTTCATTGTGCCATTGATTCCAATTTTCGGACATGAGTTTTGCTTTCATGACATTTTAGTACTGCGACGGACATTTCCAGAATGACTTAAATTTCATGTTACATTGTTTATATGCAATGCTACCAAATATTATTTATCGGATCATGACAAATGGCGCAGAATCAGCCACTTGGTCTATACACCGCAGTTACGTAATCGTTGCAGTACTTGATTGGATCATAAAAGTTGTTACTCCCACAATGGGTAAATAAGATAAGACACTCGATACGATGCCGGCGCCATTTAATTATATTTTGATATATATTTAAACTATTTCCAATTGTGTATTATTAATCATGCGGTTCACATTCACACAATTCTTTTTGGTCGTAGTCTTACTAAGTTTACTAGCCTTCGTTATTCTTGGAAACTGAATTGATGCCTTTCTAGATGATCCCCATTTCCATATACGAAACAATAGAGAGAAAGCGTGGGATAATCGCGGCTTTCCTTATATAAGCTGTAAAGAGGAAGAGAGGAAAGTACAAAGGTCCTCGCACTGTAGAGAAATGATAACTCGATGTCAGTAGAAGTCTAATTTCGAATTAACGCAAGAGGCGCTGATTCTATATATTTATTTCGGTATTTAATAATATGCTTTGATTTTTTGCTATTGAACAATTGTAATTATACTCTACAGTTTATAAAGACAAGACGGACACTTGATCACGGAAATAAATATTGTCATTTTTAAATTTTATGCAAATTCTTATATTTCAGTAACATGGTTTAATTTTAAAGGTTCAGATCATAGTGATTAAAATTTTATGGTTTGACTTATTTATATGTATAGACGACACCCAAATCATGCTCCGTGGAATGCATTAGACAAAAAGCGCGAATCCAATAGTCTGCCGGACATAAAAAGACAGACAAGACAAACGGGAAGTTTAATTTCCGATTTTCAAAGAACATAAATATACTATTTTCCAATTTAGCAGTCCTGTTATTTGAGAGGACTCTGTCGCCACCGATTTTGAATTGCTAGCAAAAATACTTCTTACCCAATCTGTTGGCTTATTACTGTATTATGTCACAAAATCTTGCCCACGTTAGCATCTTAATCGTATACCCAACCCAAACACTAGCATTAATTGAAAGATTATTCTGTTACGCTGTGCTCTTAAGACTTTAGTTATGTCAACATAGACTGCTCCTCGCCGTGTACATTAGCGCTCGTGCCTATCCAGCGTCTCAAAGCGAGCTTTGTAATATATGTTATTGACACAAACCCTAATATATCAAATCGAGCTACTCCACGTAAAAACTATGACTGCTCCCGCTGTTCCTACCACTACCGCTTTACCAGTAAATTTTGTCAATCGACAAGTTCCAAAACGTTCTGTTTTATCTTTACCATGTGTTTCAACAAAATGATGACATAGATATACAGTGCTACAAGTCTATTGTGTGATCTAAATTGTCCAGAATTTGTAATTATATTTTGCATAACACGAGAACTTAATTTATAAATTAATCTTGGGAAAAAAAAAGATTGAAAAAGTAATTATAAGTAAAAAAACAACAAAAACATTTTTTACAAAAAAATTTATTTATGTAAAGATAATAGGATTTTTTTTGTTTTATACAAGTAATAACAAAATTTTTTGAGTTTTAAATTCTTGAAATTAGACAAAATTTTAATAAGATAACTCATTAAATTGCTGTAATAGTAAATAAAGTATATTTGTAAACTTTTTTCTAATTCTGTCATACTTTTTATATTAGAAAAGAAAAATTCCGGGGTTTTTTTTTGTTACACACTGCATTCGATGCAGACTCAATAGCAATACTCTCTCGATCCATAATTCCAAATATTACTTATTACACAGTCAACCCCGTTAATCCGAACCCCGTTTAACCGAAGGACTAAGCAAACCCCACTGAACCGAAGGTAAGTTCTAAAACCTCTATATTAAATTTACCCGATAAACCGAATTTACTAATTGAACCCGTTCCCGACCCACTTCGGTTTAACGGGGTTCACTATGTATCAATAATTGCTAATTACCTTTCCCCTCCACAATAATTGCAAAATATAAGCTACACCTCGTTCCCATTCTTGTCTATAACAAAGCATCAAAGACTGAACCCTCCATTAAACGACTACTAATGCTCTTTTCAAACTCTAAATGTTTGGAGAATAGTTAATATAGCTCTGCTAGAAACCGAGAATAAAATTTGGATGAATACATCCCTCATTGTTGACAAAGAACTCATGGAAAAGTTTGTCCTGCCTTCTTAATAATAATAGTAAGAAAGCAGCCATTACCATTTTCTTCATGTTTCTGTTTTTGCTTTTTTTTTGGTTCATCGTTTATTGTTTATTGTTTTTCGTTCTTCTTGATAAATTTCATAAGTGGTTTTTTCTTTATCAAGATTTTCCTGAAGAGTTTGGGTATCATTGAATTTAAAAACGTAAGGTGCAATTTTTTCTCCTTGAGCTTTCTTCTAATTGTGCTGTGGTTTTTAGGTCCTATGGTGGATTTAATGTAAATGAGTTTCATATTTATATTTTTATATAGACATAAGCATATTATAACTGCCTTTCAGCCGCACCAGCCTCTCATTTATAGATATAACGATACATATTAATATCGAGGAGGGGTTAGGACTAGGATGGAAAGGATTTAATTTCTTTGGTAATTTCGGAAACATTTGCTTTTCTGGTTTTTAATAAATTGAATTCTGTATAAACGCCATTAGCAACCAGCTGGGCTTTGACAACTCCAGGTCGACCTGTTTCAAAGAAAAAATGTTGATATTTTTGCAAACCACTCAATTTTTTAAAGAAAATTTCCAACACAGAGTTAAGATCCAAGTATTGAAACCTTTTCCATTGTCATAACGCTGAGCCTTGTTTAATCCCGCTGTACTCGATCTTTTCACAACCTCAACAATATGATCTACGCAATCTACTGTCGTCTTTCGGTATAATTTCTTAATCAATCCAAAATTTCCATCACACTTGAATTTGGTATGTCCAGGTACCATAAAATTTAATTCGATAGTTTTATAATAACCGCAAATTACTAAATACAGGTAAAATCAAATGGTAGGCATTATTTTTATTCTGTCCTCCCGCATTATCACAAGTAATCTTTAAATGTTTTTTCCCATCAAATACCATGCTCAGTGTGCCATTAGGACCTTTGCCGGTAATTTCGCCTTCATCAAGAACGTAATTAATTTGTCCGCGTACCGCTTCATCTTGAATACCAAACAAATGCACTTTACGCGCGGACTGAGATAATAAATCTTACTTACTTGTTGATCGGAATGGGACACGTGAACATTCTGCGCTCAATCGTAACCGTAATGAGCAGTAGCGTCAACACTACAATAATCAGCTTTACCTCTTGTTATAAAATGCTCATCTACCAATTTTCTCTGTTGTTCTGCTAATTTCGTATTTTTATTGTAATAATTTCTCTCCAACTTAGCCTTAATTAGATGTTCTTTGTATTTTCTCAATAAGTCTTTTGCTTCCTCCTCCTTCGAGCATTATACTGTAAACCATTCCGAAAATGCTGACACGTGTCACATAAATTCGTTCTCGGATTCATAATTCGAATAATTGGTGCCATAACTTGCGAAACGCATCATATTTTAACAATTTCAATGTGTTATCGTTTTCAAGACCTGCAATAAAATCACGATGAACTGACTTGTAACTTGTTTCAGCTGGCAAAAGTGTAAGCAATCGAGTAATTTGGTTGACGTTTCTACCAGGACTTGGTAGTCCATGAATTTCAGCATAGTTTTCGAGAAATTTCTTCACAGCGGTAGCAATGGTGTCAATGGTTAATTTGGTTTGTTTTTCCATCGCGGCATTTTTTTACATTACCATGAACACGCGGTATTATACCATTCGTTGTCAGATGATTTCTGACGGTTTCTAAATGAGTGCGATCAATTCCCAACAGATTGAGATATGTTTTTTGACAAAGAGGCGTGTTGCGATCTCAATAATAAAAAGCTCTCTTGTTAATACGCTGTTTCTTTTTAAGGCGTCGGCTGGCGGTTATTTCTCCACCATTCATTGCTTTCAACTGGGCCATTAAAAATATATCTTGTTCGGATCTAGAAAGTGCTTGAAACGCCTCACGTAATTCAGCAAACTTCCCTCTTGGAATCATTTTCGAGCAACCACATTTGCAACCTATCTCTAAGAAACGGATTGCTTTTTCATATACGTTGGAGCTATTAGATTTATTATTCTTCATATACGGGTAACCCTATATTAATATATTAGTTTTATAATTCATGTATAATCTAGGGCATTAATTTTGACAATTGAAATTTTAAATCGATTCACTGTAGTTTCTGTTGCATAACCAGGAAAAACTACTAGAACTACTATAACTAAAGCTAAATGTCAAAACACTACTATCAATACATCTCGAATATTCAATGAAAATCTCGATTGATCGCAGCAAAATTGATAAAAATGAAAAGTTACTCGATTACTTTTTATGGGAAAATCAAGATAAAATTTAATCTAATTACCGAACTTGTGATAATTGTTAAAAATAATCGGATAAGCAACAACATTTGACAAGCAAATTACAAGCAACTTTTAGGAATTAAAGCAGTTGATTCGAAGACTTTTAATATGAAGATCGCATGTGCATTATTATTATTACTTGTTACTTCTACTCAAAAAATTTTATTTTATTTTTTGTTAAAGCAACACGGATACTGTATTAGTAACGTTTTTGACCTCACACATAGTGAGTTTGATTTTACATATGCATAAAGTTGATATATCCTGATCGTTCATTAGAGGGCACTGTACCGGTGTCAGTATATTTGGTCAATAACAACAAAGCTTCTTCGAACGCCACCTTAGTCCCTGGGCGATTAGATGATTGCAACCGTATACCAAAGCTATAGATTTCGTTCGGGACATCAAAAATCCACCTTTTTGCATCAGTGATTAACCTTCCAACAGCCCATACATCCACTTCTTCGCCATGATTATCTTTGAACACCTCTGGTGCATGATTTTCTTCTGACAAATGTAAAGCCGCTTTGTTATAGAGACCAGCAGCCTCGTCCCAGTCTATAAGCATCCACTTGGATCGTTCATTGGACAAGCTAGGCAGTTTAATAATGTTGGCCCACCGAATATCACGATGAAAGATAGGGTCATTGCCACCATGCATAATCTGCATTAGGGTTGGGGTGAGCAAAATTGAATTATGCTATAACCATTAACTCCCCAACACTTACCAATAGTGCTTGTAAAACGCAATAAACAGCATCAAGCAACTCAATCATGCTTTTTGGGCATACATCCTCTCCTCTTGGTCCAAGGTAAACCACAGCACAATGCTTTTGTTGTATAATAGTTGATGAGATGAGATAATCAACATTTGGTACTTTCTTCCTTTCCAGCTTTTCATAGACTGCTCGGAGCTGTTCGACATGCAGCCAGCAGTCTGGTCCCATGTAAGTTTTTTTTACATTTGTGCCACAAACTTCAATAGTTTTAGAGTCCCTGTGGTGCAGAAAAATTAAACTCTTAACTTTACAAATTCATATAAAAAATCTCAATTCCTGGGCTCACCTTGTTATTGGTATGAACTCAGGAGCATTACGTATTCCAACTAATTCCTTTATTGTCTCCAGCAATCTGGATATATTCATCATTCGCCGTAGATGACATACTCAATCTTTTACCTGTCGTAGATCTGATTTAACAATATCAACCACCACTGGATGTTTATCTCCATCTTTGGAAGGAGGACAAATGGCAACCAAGGTTACTTGAGCTCCAAAGGCATAGTATCCTGTGATGATACAAATTATGTATGAAAACGTAAATAATCAATAGATGAGT